AATGAGTGAGGAAATGAACGGAAGACCGAGCAATGAAGCAAATACCGGTACATAAGCATTAGCTTACTTAAACCTCATCCTTCTTTGCATTGCACAATGTTCAAAAACAGTGGCTACCAATTTCTGAAGGCTTACTGTGCGCCTGGCAACAGTATGAGGCGCTTCTTATACACCATCCCTGCGCGATCTCTAAGACTCACAAAACTCCTACATGTAGATGCTTTTATTTCCATTTTGAGGGTCAGGAGACAGACTAGAAAGTGATGTAGCTTGCTCACGTTCACCTGGGAAATAAGAAGCAGAGCTAAATTCTCACCCAGATATATTCTTTACACGCTACACAGACTCTCAGAGTGACCCTTCCTCATTGAGCTGCCCCAGGGCTCAGCTTCCCCCTCTCGGCCCCCCTAACTTTGTACCGCGGGTAAAAAGGAACAGCTACCAGCAAAACAAACGGTTGGAAAACATGAACCCAAAGTTCCTGAACATTTGGTTCTGAAATTCCATCAGTCATCTTCATCATCACCAACACTTCATGAGCACCTACTGTACACCAGCTACAGTGCTAGACAGTAGGGATACAAAGGAGAAGCAGATATATTCTCTGTGGTCTAGTGGGGAGCAGGAGTGATTGAAAAGTGCCCTAGGGTTTTGCAGGAGTGCGTGCGAAAGCTCAGAGCACTGCCCATGCTGGGCGCATCTAGGGAGCCCAGGATGTGGGGTCTATGAGGGACAGTGGCAGAGGAGAATGGAAGGATGGATGGCTGAGCCCCCGGATTCGGGCCATAGCAATGGGGTCAGAGAGAAGGAGACAGAACTTAAAGATGTTTCAGTGACAGGCCAGATGGGATGGTGACCCCTTGGTTATGATAATGAATGGACCACTGCCCACCTGGAGGTACTGGAGAATCTGGGCATTTCAGCCAGAGCAGCTGCCCAGCAAAACCGTGCCCTCCACCCTGCCCCAGTGTGGCTGCTGAGACATGTCATTGTTCCCAGGGCCAATCCCTCAGGAGCAGGCCAGGAGGACGAAGAAGAAGGGACTCAATCTCCACCCCAACTCCCTCGACATACACAGCTTCTGTTTCTTTTCCTGCTCTCCTTACCTGTCGAAATCCACAAATCTGATCAACTCACTTGCCCTGAAACCAAATAACTCCGTCTTTGGCTAAATAGAGAAGAGGAGATTGAGGATTTGAAGAGACACTTATTTATCTCTTTACCAGACAGTCTAATGAATAATTTCATGTTTGCAAAAGCTCATTTTGAAATTTGAAGACAAGAGATATATTGCCAAGGCGGCTCTAATACTGCGACATTAATTTTGCACTGAAAGATTTACTCAAAAATTAGATTTTACAATTTTAATGCCTCCATTCTTTTCTTTAAATAAGCTGTGAAATACAGTTAATTAGACTTAAACCCTGGAAGCTTAGACGTTTGAGCTTTGGTGTAAGCTACAAAAGAAAGCAAGCTTTTTCACTTGCAAATTAAATCTAAATTCATTACACGCCTAAACCTATACCACTTGCAGAAATCCTAGTGGGCTGAGGAAGGGTCTTCTTAAGGCTCCACATGTCTCCCTACAGAATCCTGGCTGCAGAAAATGAAAGCAGAGACAGACAGGAGGCAGAAAAGACAGGGTATCTGACAAAGCTGTCTTGGGCAATGTTAGTGTATTCTTTGGAACATCACCCTCGAGAATTGCTCCCTGGGGAAAAGAAGGTGCCGTGCTCAAAAAAAATTAGGGAGATGCCACACATCGTGTTCCCTTCTTGGAAAATCAGAAGGTTCAAAGAAATAAAACAAACAAGCTAACAAACAAAAACTGCCTAACTTTGTTTCATCCAGAATTTCCCAAACATATCTGACAGCGAAGCCATTGTTGTCAAAAAGCTTCATACTCAAGTCTATCCACTGCTGCACAGAACACAGTCTGCTCTGGGCTCCAGCTCCTTCTTAGACATGGCCTTGGAGACCCAGCCCCAACCTTCTGCTCTCTTCCACATTGATCTCTTCCGTGAGAGCTGGGAAAGGATCACATACACAGCCGGCTAAGAAACACACCATTGAATTCACAACAGGCTGAGGAGTTTGGGGCCCAAGGTAGATACAATACAAGTACTCAGCAAAGTGATCATGTCTTCTGGACACTGCTTAACACATTTATCAGAGAAACAAACAGTTGAAAGGTGTCAGGAAGTGCAGGGACCTTTTAGCCCAACCTCCCACCTAACGCCAGAAGTCCTTCTACAAAACCTGCGCTGGGTTCATCAGCACTTGAGCCCTTCTCAGGACAGGGGACTCAGCCGCTTCCGGGGAGTCTCCCCCGTCCCTGGACAGATCTGACGTCATATGTGGATACAAGGCTGCCTCCCAGTGAGAACCACCCCTGGCAGACTTATCCAGGACCCTCCCAGGTTGGCTCCAAAGTAGCTGGACTAGAGGCTCCATTCCCAGTAACTCGCAGGATTTCCCCATCCCTAACTTCCCTTTCTGAACCAAAGATCCTCTTCCCAGCTACTAACTTGTGCCTGACTCCATGGCCACTACTTCCTCTTCCTTCTGGGGACCATTGAGAATCTAATGAATCTAGCCAGTCTTCTTCCCAGAATGATCTAATGTTAGAAACTTCGCAGATGCCTCGAAGCCTGTCTGTCAGCCCTGTCTAGGACTCCCTGGGAGAGACATCTTGGTCTGATTGCTGGGGTTGGCTAAGCCTAACCAATACCAATACACTACGGGGAGTTTTCCAAGTGTCCACTCTCATCTTGTGTCCTTTACAACTCAGGACTCCACCCTTTCTGTCCACCGCTTATTATTCTGTTCAGGACAGAATTCATCTTTGGAGAGCAACAATAAAAATGAGCACAATAATAATAATTCCATGTTATTTTTGCAGTTTACAGAGTGGTGGCATAACTTTATTTAATTTACCCTTCACCAAAGCCTAGATCATAGGAGTTCTCTTCTGCTTTTAACAAAGGAAGCAATAAGCTCAGACAGACTGAGTGATGTGCCCAGGAACGGAGCCAAGAGATAGGTTCCCTGAGTCGTAGTTCAGTATCCTTATAAAATATCACATCGCCTCCAAATTAGAAACCCTAAATCCCACATTTTCATACAGTACCCATCGTCTTTGGTGTCACAGAGGGGAGGAGAGGCTATTTATTCTTTGCAGAACAAGAGAAAAGACCAACAGATTATTTTGTATATGACAGGACTAAAAAGAATGTTTTGAATTTTAAAGTGCTCGGTTCAATACCGTTATTGAACATATAGCGGTGAACTCTGAGCAAGAGACCACCTCTGGAACCAACAGCAGAGCCAGGGACAGGGCACTACTTGTAGAATGGCCTGGAGTCACCCACACAGAGCGCTTGGCACCTGGTACACACTGAGCAGATGTTAGACTAACATGGAATGTGGACCACGAAAGCTAAACAGGTCTTCCTGGAACAGGGAAGATAATTGGGCTCAGGATGCAGTTGTAGGTGTGGGTGTGTGGAAGACAGAATGAGGCCCATTCTGACAGAATGTGAAAAGGTGTCCAGGCAGGAAACTACAAAGTGCACCATGGGGAGCAGGGGGGTGGCAGAGAAGCTCCAGTCTTGAGCAGTAGATGTTGTGTGGGTCGGGGGAGCAGAGGGCGGGAGATAAGGCAGACTGGTGCTTTGGAGCTTGGATTCCTCTCTGAGGCCAGAGGGAATCACTGAAGGCTTTGGACTAGACTGATAAAGGGTGATGGTTAATCAGCTGACTAAGACTAGAAGCAGAGAGAGACCAAGGAGTGGTCAACACAGAGGTTTGCGACAGGGGCCGGTAAACTAATCTTAGTCTTATGTGAGTCTGTCAAACAGCCCCACCTTACTCCCCATCTCCAGGCTCACCTCCCGGCCTCACCTACAGTGCCCAGGGAGATAACTGGGCCTCCATGCTGGGCCCCCTTCTAAGATTCCCACTGTAATGGACTGACTCGTGACACAGTCCTAATCTGACTCTGGGGTGCTTCTTAACCCCAGGATAGCCTTCCTGGGAACTGGTGCCCCCTGTCCCCAGGACCCGCCCTTGGTTGGACCAAGATGCCAACCCTGCTATATCTAACTCATCATGTTGAAAACAGCAGTATAACAGCGACTTTCCCGTGACCTCAGATTCACTCACAGGAGTGTTCAGCCTCTTGCCGACCACAGGCGAGGTGCTGTGCTAAGTGCTAGGGAGAGTGCAGAAGCAGGTACACGGAGTTCACAGCCTTCAGGAAACTTGCAGTTCATACAGAAGATAAGCAATATATAAGAATGACATTGGTAGGGGCGCCTGGGTGGCTCAGTCTTTTAAGCATCTGGCTTTGGCTCAGGTCATGATCTCAATGTTCATGAGTTCAAGACCTGGATTGGACTCTGTGCTGACAGCTCAGAGACTGGAGCCTGTTTCAGATTGTATGTCTCCCTCTCTCTCTCTCTGCCCCTCTCCCACTTGTGGTCTCTCTCTCTCTCTCTCTCTCTCTCTCTCTCTCTCTCTCAAAAATAAATAAATAAGCATAAAAAAAAAAGAAAGACAACATAAGGTCAAGAATGATTCAAAGAAAGGGAGAGGAGCCAAGATGGCGGAACAGCATGGAAGTTTTTTGCGTGTCTTGCGTCCCCAAAATACAGCCAGACCAACCCTAAACCATCCTGCACACCTAGAAAGCTGATCTGAGGATTAACACAACAATCTGCACAACCTGAACCACAGAATTCAGCAGGTATGCGGCGCAAAGAGGTGAGCTGGGGGAGACAGAAGCCACGGAGGGCAGGGAGCTGTTTCTGTGTGTGGAGAGAGGACGGAGACAGGGGAGAGAGTGTAGGAAAAGCACCCTCCCCAAAAGCAGCTGGAGAGAAAGCGGAAAAGTGGAAGCAGCCGCAGGGACAGAACCAAAAAGGGAGAAAGGAGAGGGTTTAAATTCCATTAGGACTAAAAACAGGGAGCGCAGAGGCTGAAACGGCGCGGCTCCATACCTGGTGGTGCTCTGGTGGGAAGGGCGAATCCCCAGGAGCAGAGCGGAGTCCAGGGTTCTTCGGGCCACAGGGAGAGAGGCAGTTCCCCTGCTGGGAGGACATCAGGTAGGGGCTGTGTGGGTCCCCCAAAGGCAAGGCCCCAGTGGACCCGGGAGAACCACCACATTCGCTGGCGCTGGAACGAGGTCGTTAAGGGTGAAGCCTGGAGCCAGGTGTGTGTTGTGGTTTTCCGTAAATCCCGGAAACGCTGCTGCTACACGATCTCGGGAACTTTTTCTGCGGGGGCTGGCACCCGGCCGCAGTCTCTGGGCAGCAGCAGCAGCATGGTCCCGCGAATGTTCCTGGGTGCGGCCGGCACCCGACCATTGCTCGGTGAGATCCTCCAGCAGAGGGGCAGAACGGGTCAAAGCCGCAGTCCCTCAGAAGTGAGGGGTCGGAAACACAGCTGCATCTGAGACAAAACTCAGGAGGGAGGTACTGCCTGGGGCTTGGTCACGGACTGTGTAAAAGTGGAGAGTAGATGGAAGCCGAAGACAAAGGACGGGTGTGCGATTACTGATCTTGGAGAACAAAGTTCCAATACTCGGCACTGGGTGGCTGGGTGACACCATTTTCACCAGTCCCACGCATGCGCATATGCACCTACAAGCGCTGCAGCGATCCACCCCCAGTAAGCTAAGCAGCGCCATCAAGAGGAGAACGGAGCCATTACACTAAGCCAAGCTCAACTGGGCCAACCTCGCTCTTCGGGAACACAAGTCTCTCCGCCTGCTTAGTTTATGGACTATAAAGTGATTCATAATTTGACTTACAGGAGAAAACGAAGTAATTTCAGTTGTATTTCAGTCTGTTCACCGGTCCATCTATTCAATTTTCTTTTTTTCTTTTTTCTTTTTTCTCTTTTTCGTTGCTTTTCTTCTTCTTGAATACAGAAAGAGAAAAAATTCACTTTTATTTTCAATCTTTATTAAAAATATTTTTCTTTAATTTTTTCTACTATATTTTTTACTTTTGTGTAAAATTTGTCAATTTCTATTTAATTTCCATCATTTCATTTTAGTCTACTTTAGTGTATTCATTTTTTCAAATTTTCAAGTGATTTCTTTTTTCTCTCCCCTTTTTTCTCTAATCTATCAACCCCTTTCAACACCCAGACCAAAACACACCTACAATCTAGCATCATTTATTCGATTCCTTTCGTGTGTGTGTGTTTTCAATTTTTTAATTTTAATATTTTTTTAATTTTAATTTTTTTCCTCATTAATTCTTTTTCTTCCTTCAAAATGATGAAATGAAGGAATTCACCCCAAAACAAAAGGCAGGAAGAAACGACAGCCAGGGACTTAAACAACACAGATACAAGTAAGATGTCTCAACCAGAATTTAGAATCATGATAATAAGAATACTAGCTGGAGTCAAAAATAGATTAGAATACCTTTTTGCAGAGATAAAAGAAGTAAAAGCTAGACTAGTCAGGATGAAATAAAAAATGCTATAACTGAGCTGTAACTTCAAATGAAGGCCATGGTGGCAAGGATGGATGAGGCAGAACACAGAATCAGCAATATAGAGGACAAACTTATGGAGAATAATGAAGCATAAAAAAAGAGGGAGATTAAGGCAAAGGGCACAATTTAAGAATTACAGAAATCATTGATTCATTAAAAAGGAGCAACATCAGAATCAAAGAGGTCCCAGAAGAGGAAGACAGAGAAACAGGGGTAGAAGGGTTATTTGAACAAATCATAGCAGAAAACTTTCCTAACCTGGGGAAAGACACAGACATCAAAATCCAGGAAGCACAGAGAACTCCCATTAGATTCAACAAAAACTGACCATCAACAAGGCATATCATACTCAAATTCACAAAATATTCAGGCAAGGAGAGAATCATGAAAGCAGCAAGGAAAAAAAATCCTTTACCTACAAGGCCAGGTTTGCAGCAGACCTATATCCACAGAAACTTGGCAGGCCAGAAAGGAGTGGCAGGATATATTCAATGTGCTGAATCAGAAAATATGCAGCCAAGAATTCTTTATCCAGCAAGGCTGATATTCAAAATAAAAGGAAAGATGAAAAGTTTCCAAAAATGAAAGGAGTTTGTGACCACTAAACCAGCCCTGCAAGAAATGTTAAGGGGGACTCTCTGAGGGGAGAAAAGATGAAAAAACAAAAAACAAATAAATAAAGACCAAAAGCAACAAAGACTAGAAGGGACAAGAGAACACCACCAGAAACTCCAACTCTACGAGCAACATAATGGCAATAAATTCATACCTTTCAGTACTCATGCTAAATGTCAATGGACTAAATGCTCCAATCAAAAGACATAGGGTAACGTAATGAATAAGAAAAAAAGATCCATCTATATGCTGTTTACAAGAGACCATTTTTGGACCTAAAGACACCATCAGATTGAAAGTAAGGGGATAGAGAACCCCCTATCATGCTAATGGTCAACAAAAGAAAGCCGGAATAGCCATATTTATATCAGACAATCTAGACTTTAAAATAAAGACTGTATCAAGAGATGAAGAAGGGCATTATATCATAATTAAAGGGTCTATCCACTGAGAAGACCTAAAAATTTTGAACATTTATGTACCAAATGTGGAGGCACCCAAATATATAAATCAATTAATCACAAACATAAAGAAACTCAGTAATACAATAGTAGAGGACTTCAACACCCCACTTACAACAAGGAACAGATTATCTAATCAAAAAATCAACAAGGAAACAATGTTCTGAATGACATACCGGACCAGATGGACTTAACAGATATATTCAGAACATTTCATCCTAAAGCAGTAGAACATACATTCTTCTCCAGTGCACATGGCACGTTCTCCAGAATAGACCACATACTGGGACACAAATCATCCCTCAACAAGTACAAAAAGATCAAGATCATACCGTGCATATTTTCAGACCACAATCGAAATCAACCACAAGAAAAAATTTGGAAAGGTAACAAATACTTGGAGATTAAAGAACATCCTACTAAAGAATGAATGGGCTAACCAAGCAGTTAAAGAGGAAAATTAAAAAGTTCATGGGAGCCAATTAAAATGATAACACCACAACCCAAAACCTCTGGGATGCAGGAATGGCAGTCATTAAGAGGAAAGTATATAGCAATCCAGGCCTTCCTAAAGAAGGAAGAAAGATCTCAGATACACAACCTAACCTTACGCTTTTAAAGAGCTGGAAAAAGAACAGCAAATAAAACCCAAAAACAGCAGAAGATAGTAAATAATAAAGATTAGAGCAGAAATCAATGCTATTGAAACCAAAAACACAGTAGAACAGATCAATGAAACCAGAAGCTGATTCTTTGAAAGAATTAACAAAATTGATAAACCACTAGCCAGTTAGATCAAAAAGAAAAAGGAAAGGACCCAAATAAATAAAATCAAGAATGAAAGGGGAGAGATCACAACCAAAACAGCAGAAATAAAAACAACAATAAGAGAATATTTTGAACAATTATATGCCAACAAAATGGACAATCTGGAAGAAATGGACAAATTCCTAGAAACATATACACTACCAAAAGTGAAACAGGAAGAAATAGAAAATGTGAACAGACCCATAACCAGTAAATAAATTAAGTAATCAGAACTCTCCCAAAAAACAAGAGTCCAGGGCCAGATGGCTTTCCAGGGGAATTCCACCAAACATTTAAGGAAGAGTTAACACTGATTCGCTTGAAGCTGTTCCAAAAGATAGAAATGGAAGGAAAACTCCCAAGCTCTTTCTATGAGGCCAGCATTATCTGGATTCCAAAACCAGACAGAGACCCCACTAAAAAGGAGAACTATAGACAAATTTCTCTGATGAACATGGATGCAAAAATCCTCAACAAGATATTAGCCAACTGGAGCCAACAATACATTAAAAAAATTATTCACCAAGTTGGATTTATACCTGGGATGCAGGGCTGGTTCAATATCTGCAAAAACAATTAACATGATTTATCACATCAGTAAAATAAAGGACAAGAACCATATGATCCTCTCAATAGATGCAGAGAAAGCGTTTGACGAAATACAGCATCCTTTCTTGATAAAAACCCTCAAGAAAGGATCATACCTCAAGATCATAAAAGCCATATATGAAAGACCCAATGCTAATATCATCCTCAGTGAGGAAAAACTGAGAGCTTTCCCCCTATGGTCAGGAACAAGACAGGGAAGTCCACTTTTGCCACTATTATTCAACATAGTATTGGAAGTCTTAGCCTCTGCAATCAGACAACACAAAGAAATGAAAGGCATCCAAATCAGCCAGGAGGAGGTCAAACTTTCACTCTTTGCAGATGACATGATACTCTATATGGAAAACCCAAAATATTCCACCAAAAAACTACTAGAACTGATTCATGAATTCAGCAAAGTTGCAGGATATAAAATCAATGCACAAAAATTGGTTGCATTCCTATACACCAACAATGAAGCAACAGAAAGAGAACTCAAGGAATCGATCCCATTTACAATTGCACCAAAAACCATAAAACACCTAGGAATAAATTTAACCAAAGAGGTGAAAAATCTATACACTGAAAACTATAGAAATCTTATGAAAGAAATTGAAGAAGACACAAAAAAAAAATGGAAAAAGATTCCATGCTCCTGAATAGGAAGAACAAATATTGTTAAAATGTCAATACTACCCAAAGCAATCTACATATTCAATGCAATCCCTATGAAAATAACACCAGCATTCTTCACAGAGCTAGAACAAATAATCCTAAAATTTGTATGGAACCAGAAAAGACCCCAAATAGCCAAAGCAATCTTGAAAAAGAAAACAAAAGCAGGAGGCATCACAATCCTGGACTTCAAGCTATACTACAAAGCTATAAGCATCAAGACAGTATGGTACTGGCACAAGAACAGATACTCAGATCAATGGAACAGAATAGAGAACCCAGTAATGGACCCACAAGCATATGGCCAACTAATCTTTGACAAAGCAGGAAAGAATACCCAATGGAATTAAAGACAGTGTCTTCAGCAAGTGGTGCTGGGAAACTGGACATGCAGAAGAATGAACCTGGACCACTTTCTTACCCCACACACAAAAATAAACTCAAAACTGATGAAAGATGTAAATATAAGACAGGAAGCCATCAAAATCCTCAAGGAGAAAGCAGGCAAAAACCTCTTTGATCTTGGCCACAGCAACTTCTGACTCAGCACATCTCCAGAGGCAAGGGAAACAAAAGCAAAAATGAACTACTGGGACCTCATCAAAATAAAAAGCTTCTGCACAGTGAAGGAAACAATCAGCAAAACTAAAAGGCAACTGACAGAATGTGAGAAGATATTTGCAAATGACATATCAGATAAAGGGTTAGTATCCAACATCTATAAAGAACTTATCAAACTCAACACCCAAAAAAACAAGTAATCCAGTGAAGAAATGGGCAAAAGACATGAATAGACACTTCTCCAAAGAAGATATCCAGATGGCCAACCGACACATGAAAAAATGCTCCACATCACTCATCATCAGGGAAATACAAATCAAAACCACAATGAGATACCACCTCACATCTGTCAGAATGGCTAACATGAACAACTCAGGCAACAACAGATATCGGTGAGGATGTGGAGAGAGAGGATCTCTTTTGCATTCTGGTGGGAATGCAAGCTGGTGTAGCCACACTGGAAAACAGTAC